ACCTAACCTTTATAAGAAATCTTGCACTCCAAAAGCATTTCTTTTGAGTTTTAGAATCTTCATATTAGATTAAGTATGCGAGGCGATTTCCTCAATACTATTGCTCTATGTCTTTTAGTCTTTTGACTCTCGTTTCCTTGGCCTGTGGTTTCTTTTGAAGATCAATCTCTTTTTCGTTCTGTTCAAGCTGTTTGGAGGTCTTTTCAGATCCATTAATCTCACAAATTTTCCTCTTCTTGGAACCCTCGTGGAAAGAGCCTTTGCTTTTACCTTCGATTTAACATCCTCGGGGTTCATTATATGGAACCACGGCTTCATCAGCGGAATCAATGATCTCAGAGAGCTGGCTTCCTATCTTTTGGGCTAACTTCCTCAGTTCTTTGCAGCTTTCCTGTAAATAAAAATAAGTAGACTCAGACCAGTTTTTCATCAGCTCAAAAACACATCAGTGACATGAAGTAACAGGGATTTTTGTCATCACCATCGATAGAGGCAAATGAGAAACATCATCAATTTCTGAAACAGTTTTCTTCTGCTGGTCTTTTTCTCTGCACTGCTTTACCAATTTCCTATTTTCCCAATCCCCAAAGAGAAACATGAAAAACATTAAAGCGAATTCATAGATGAACATAAAAACAGGCAAAAGAAGGATCAGAGCTTACTCTAGGGCAATGATATTGCTGCATGCTTCAGTTTGGCATTCCCAAAGTCTTTTATATGCTTCACTCTTTACTTCCACACATGCTTCTTTCATCGTGTTAGATGTTCTGAGCAATTCCACTTTCCTCTCTTTTGAGTTTATATCCCTTAGGTTCTCTTCTCCTTCACCTGACTCTTCCATCACCACGTCAGTTTGCTCGTCTAGAACAACCACCTGATATAGTTCACCTCCTTCACTGTTTGCTTCGATCCTACCTTCAGCCTCACTATTTTCTAGAGTCACTTCTGATTCTTTAGCAACTCCCTCTTTCCTAAGAGTTTCAACAGTCGAATCTCTTAAACATGCTTGGACTCCATTATCTTCTGTGTCACTTACTTCAACGACGTCAATGCCACCACATGCTTTACGTTTGGGGCTGGTTTCGGACTCAGTCAAACTCCGTTCTTCCAACAAATCTACCATCTGATCCCCAGACTTCAACATTCTAACACTTTCTTCTACGTTTTGGTGTCTCACAGCGTCATTCGCCGCACACTGGCCATTCTTTTTCAACGTTATCACACCGATCTTTCTTTCAGCATCAGCGGAAACAATAGCATCAATCTTCTCCTCTCCCGGGAGAGTGTAACAGTAGTTGTTGTTGTAGTCACAAAGTATCTCTCTTTTCTCCACAAGCTTAGCTAAATGATGACTGAGCAAACTCTTGTGAGCAAATGGCAAGTTCTTGTGCTTCGCCTTTATAAACTCTGATATCGCTTCTTCACAAGAGCCACCTTCTTCATTCAAATCCGTGATAGCAACAAATATCATCTGAAAACAAATTTTTATACAGTCAGAAGAACACATCAAAGA